TGTCATCGAAAGTAGGTACGTACATCCCACACCACTGCGTTACCAAGGCGGACAGTTCGACTACAAGGCTACGTGTTGTGTTTGACGCCTCTTGCCGTACCGACAACGGCATTGCCCTCAACCAAATTCTCCGCGTTGGTCCGACATTACAAGACAATATATTTACAATATTGCTTCGTTTTCGCACACACCGTTATGTTTTAATGGCCGACATAACGAAAATGTACCGGCAAATTATGGTCGATGAAAGAGATGCGAAATGGCAATGCATCTTATGGCGAAATTCTCCAAGCGAGCCGGTGACCACCTATCAGCTACAGACAGTAACATACGGAACTAGTTGTGCTCCGTTTTTGGCAGTGAGATGTCTACAGCAATTGGCTTACGACAACATCTCCACCCACCCAATTGGAGCTACTGTCACTCTGCGAGACTTCTATGTCGACAATCTGATGACAGGGGGCGCCACAATTGAAGAAGTCAAAGCAATCAAAAGGGAAGTCATCGATTTACTCGCCAAGGGAGGGTTCCCTCTTCGAAAATTTGCAGCAAATCATCAGAGCATTATCGACGATGTTTCAGAGACGGACAAGGAACCCGTAATAAACGTTGAAAATATTGACTACATCAAAACGTTAGGATTAAAGTGGTCGCCTGCTACCGATTGTTTCTTTTTTTCATACACACCGTCTCAGAAACGGCTGCAGAAGGCCAGGAAGCGCATGATACTCTCGCAAATAGCCAGCTTCTTTGACCCACTCGGCCTTATAAACCCCATCATCCTCCCATGCAAAATAATGATGCAAGAATTATGGAAATTGCGCTTAACCTGGGACGAAAGTGTACCTCTGGCGATTCAAACACAATGGGCCGATATATGTAACCAACTCACCTTCATCGAAAAAATGCATCTTCCAAGGTTCGTATGTTTTAACTCTAGCACTAAATTGCATGCCTTTGCAGATGCGAGTACAAAGGCTTACGGAGCGTGCGTATATGCTGTTTCTAACGCTGATGGAGGCCCACATTCATCGCTTATCGCGGCAAAGTCAAGAGTAGCGCCCACTAAAGAGACCACGCTGCCAAAATTAGAATTATGCGCTGCTCTGTTGTTGTCAGAATTACTGGAATCATTGGTAGCCACACTCACTATTAATGCACGCAACATATACTGCTGGTCTGACTCCACGATTGCCCTGTCGTGGATACAGGGTGAACCATCGCGTTGGACTACATTTGTAGCTAATAGGGTAGCAAGAATACAGCAGATCACAGCGGGATACACTTGGCGTCATGTATCGTCTTCGGAAAACCCTGCTGACTTAGTGTCGCGGGGAGTGACGGTGCACAACATCATCAACAACCAGTTGTGGTTTCACGGACCACAATTTATACAATTACAACAACAGCACTGGCCTTCCAGTCCAATGAAGGCCATTATTAATATGCCAGAGCAGCGCAAGCAACACCACACCCTTTTAGTAACGCAGGTTGAAGACATCGTTGCTCAAGAATACAAGGGGCTTCAGAAAGGCAGAGTGAGTCCACAGTCTAGTTTAAATCTACTCTCGCCCTTTCTACACAACCAGATAATTCGCGTTGGGGGGAGAATCACCAATTCATCACTGCCATTCGACGCTAAGCACCCCATTGTACTACCGAGGTCACACCCATTCGTT